CGTGCAGTAGCACTATCTACGGCTGAAGCCGAATATGTCTCATTAACGGAAGCTGCTAAAGAGGCAATTCACTTGTGTTTAATTCACAAAAGCTTGCATTTACGGCAAGAGAAGCCCATAACAATACATTGCGATAATCAAGCAGCTATAAAACTTGGAACAAATCCAATGGTAAGCTCGAAATCGAAGCACATTGATATGAAGGTTCATTTTATAAGAGACTGTGTTTCCGAGAAGAAGATAGAGCTTAAATTCATAAGGACTGAAGAAAACGAAGCTGACCCTTTGACCAAAGGTTTATCAGGGCCGAGAATTTTCCGTCTGAGAGCGATGATTGGGCTCAGTGAATAAAAGCCATAGGAGGAGAAACTATCCTCTATCCTGCTTTCTGAGGAGGAGTGTTGGTAGTCAACCAGCAAGGCACGATATTCGACCTCCGTAGATCATCGCTAATACATACCATAGTGTAGTATGAATTGAAAACGTCTGTCGATTTGTGGTGTCATTAAATTAAAATATGAATATTTATACTTATATAATAAAACGTTATTAGTTCATAGAAACCGCTGTTTAATCTCCCTCTAACAGAAGAATAGAACAAGTGATGAAGATGATGCAGAAAATAATTGCTTTTATTTGGTTTGCCTTGAAGCCTATGCAGACAACAGATCGAATGATAAGTGGGTCCAAAGCCTGGAATGCAAAAGCTAGGCACACATAGATTGTACTGGGCACGAGCTGCATTACGTTTGGCATAATTGTGAAACTGATTATATTAAGATTTTATACTGATTATAACAATAATATGATTGATCTCAAAGTTATACCATATTTAGTTAATGAAAATATTATAATTACTTGTTATGAGAATATTAATACTATGTTGTTTTAGTTGGTAGGTATTAAAAGATGATTAATCAAATCAAATCAATATTTATTGTTGATCGCAGGTTATATAAAGATATTGGATGCAAGGACTGAATAGTTACACCGTGATCTGCCTAAAAGGCATACAATATTAGTAGGTTAGTAATTGTCAACTAATCTAATCAACAACATGTTATGTCAAAAATTCAATTAATTCATTAAGTATTTATACATTTACAAAGTACAGTGAGCTAACTCGTTTACACTATAATATGCTTATGGTATCCGTACTCTGTAAATTACATATGCTCCTAACACATTTTTTCTGGGCTCTAAAGGCAGTTACAGAATCAGTCGAATATCCTCAAAATATAATGCCGTATCGAACAGTAGAAACTACGTACGCGTGATAAGCTGTAAGGACCGTGCACTGATTCGCGATCCTACTAAGTTTGTACAGTGCACAAGAATACTGGGACAACTTTTTGCAAACATGTTCAGTGTGTGTTTTCCAAGTCAAATTTATTATTATAATACTGATTAAAGTACTGATTTGATAAAAAAACGTGCTTGATTTATTTATGTCGTATGCAATGGTATTTTTATATCTTATAGCTTAAATACAATGATGTCACAACTTACCTCGGTGCCTGTCACAACTTACCTCGGTGGTAGGAGAGTTGTGACAAGGGGAGTGGACTTGAATTTTGTTATTTTTTTCAGAAACTATTATACTTGAATTAATTTTAGTGATGGTTTTGAAAACAGAAGGAATGGCGCTAAACTAATTCACATGAGTCATAACTGTGTAATGGTTCTTAAGCGAGATAGAGCCCCTAATGTAAAAATTGTCACAACTCTCCTAGGTCTCCCCTACATTACGATATTAGTGCGTTATGATGGTTATAACATGCGAGGCGGAATTGAGCCGAGCATGTTATTAAAACCAATACGCACGTATATCGTACGACGTATTTTTACCCCTTTGCTAGGAAACAGAAAAAAGAGATTTTATATTTTGTTCATTTTTAATTATTAAAACAGTTAGTGAAATTACAATTATTAAAATGATACGTAGTTGTAGTTGGTTTTTTAATTATGTTATTATTATTATTATTGTTCATAATGTCATCGTTTTGTGTTAGGGTAAACGTTGGAGATGACGAACTTCTTGAAAGGCGGCAGAAGAGCACTGTAATTCGTCATTAGTTGTAAATAAAAAAATATTATCAGTAGAAGTAGAGGGCGCGGCTCAGGGCAAAACTTCTTCGTTTGTGGCTCGAAATTTATTGCCTGAGTTATTTTGGCACTTATATTTGCTATGTTTTGGATGGAATCTTCTACATAAGATTCTGCTACTGCGTAAGAACGCCACCCGCCATGCCGCTTTAAAGTCAATATATCAGCTCCCGAATCAGCAAGTAATGTAGCTGACGTTCTTCTGAAACTGTGCCCTGTATAACAATCAGCATCCGGCAATTCTAAAAACTTGGCGACTTCCTTTGGCATGGCACCGAATTTATTTATGCCAATAGATTGCGCAGTACATTTACCTTTTTGGTAATTCTGAAAGAAATGATTATTTTTTGCCTTAGTCGTACGCAGAGCTTCATATTTTTTGACCACGTCATAAAATGGGCCGTCGATAATAAAAGATCGGGGTATTTAGTTTTTAGTGTTTGGGATTTTGACTAAAAGCGTTTTGCCTTGATTTTCAATGTCATTTTTGGTAATATTGTGAAGCTCTTGCCGTCTACATGCACCATTAATACCAAATATTAACGAAACCTGAAAAGAAATAAAAATGTGTTAGATAAGGTATAAGTACTTAGCTTACAGACGGTCGTTAAAAAATATGTAAAAGAGTATGTACAGTAGGTAGATCAATACATAAAATAAGGAGGCAAACTGACCTTTGTAGCCAGGTACTGGCTATCTGGAGCATCTCTTAGAAACTTTTCGACGTCAATTGATGACAGTACCTTAGATTTTTTCTTTATAAAACCATCAGAGCGTCTCTTTAAAAATGCAATGAGATTTGAATATAAATTAATATCGACACCACTTTTTATCTTGAGGGTACTTTTCAGCATAGAATATGTTGTCTACAACGAGCTAGGCTTATATATACAAGCTAGTTCATTAAAATACGCCAAAACTACATTTTCGGAAAATGACTTGGCATTTTTCATGTTTTTCCACTTCAAGAAATTAATAACTACAAAAATATAAACTGATTAATTCGAGAAACATTTTAAACGGTTTCTAGACAATAATTTAAAAATTCGTATAAACTTATATCTCGAAACTTATATATTATAACTTAACTATTATAAGTCGAAACTTATATCTATTTTATTAGAGAAATATCGTACCAAAATGTAGTCAAAAACACTAAAAATAGCTTGTTTATAGCAAACGGAGTAATAGCTTACTGAAGGTTATTTATTAAAAGCGAAATTTACATTTACAACATTAAGTAACAACAGTCTGTTTTTTGAAGTCGGTTACAAAAAGCCTTTTTTAGGAAAATTGCATTACTCTTTTGATTATTTTTTATATATATATATTTTATAACTTGCAACTTAGTTGGCCATACGTTGTCATTTTAACTAAATCATGTGCAATAAGATGTGAGTTTCCATAATTCATTCAATTTAAATTTCATTTCATTAAATTTATAAATTGTTTTTTAAATATATAATTTAATTGTTTTTAGATAATTTTCCATCACTATATCTACCAAAATCTTTAACAATGACAAAAACAACGCTGGGTGGGCGCTGTAATCTTTTCATATAATTTGTTAACTATTGTTTTATACAGGTTAATTTTTATATTTATTTTGATTTTTTTTGTTTGTAATTTGGCTGTGTGTACACAAATAAATTATTATATTCTTTATACTAATTTTATTAAAGTATATGTCGATGTAATAAAATGAAACGAAATATAGCCATAATATCGTTAAGATGTCGTATAATATAGCTATAATAATAGCTAGAGAGCTAACCAGTCGCACCACACGTCCGGGAATCCAGAATTATACTTATATTTTTAATCTTTTTTTAAGTTTTTAAGGATCAGAGCCGAAATTTGGAAATCTCAGGAAATATCTGGATTTTTTAAGTTCTCAGTAGAAAAGAGACGTTAACCGTTTAAAAATATGGATTTTAATAACAAAATCCCAAAACAAATAATATTCTTGGTTAAAAACAAATAATCCTTTTATCGATGCCCTCCGCAGCCAAGTGGTTCCAAGACGTTTTCAAGGTGTTACCATCTCAAAGGCTCCGAGTTTGATTCGCATTCGGAATAATGTAGAAAATGAACTTTCTGCAATGAAACTTCATAATATGCCGGCTTTAGCTACTCATCTTGGATATTTATTTATTTTTCTTTATCTAGAAACTAATTAAAAACAACTTATGGTCAGTTGCACAAGTAATTTTTTTTATTCGTCTTAGAACCTTGAACCACTTTATTAGTTTCATAGCATTTACATTTTTAGAAGGTAAGCATTTTTATTGAAATTTCATAAAATCATATCCAATTTAAAATTAAATACTATTCCTATGCACAGCACTTTCAACTACCTAAGTATTAGGTATATTTTTGAGTTTCACGAACGCAAATAATATGGAATCGGGTTTCTTTTAAAATTATAAAACCTTATAAAATTGACTCTATAGTTATATATAGTCTTTACTTTGCCCAATTATAATTCGTCGAAAAGAGCAATTTCAGTTTTTCCGAGCTTCTAGTTTCTCTTCAAATAACTATAGAGAAAAATATTTTACGTACTTGATGTGCAATGCACATTGTGCATAATGTATTATTGGAAAAGAATCATTATAATTTTTGGTAACAAAACTGGAAATATCTATTACCTTTCTTTCAATAGCATTATTTAGATAATTTATGCACATCAGACTAAATAAAAAAATAACTTTTTTTAACCTACGCACTACCTATTCGTCATTCAGAACACAAAATGGCTAATACGACGTAACCTCATATAAAGGATAGGTAGGTTTCAATAAGGATTTCAAAAGTGTAGTTATTTGATTATACTTATTCTTTGACCTGTTTGTTGGTAAGTCTAAATTGGAAGTGGTTTGTGTTAAGAGCTCATTCGCCACACACGCTCCGTGGTGATCAGACGCATTACTAATCATGCAGCTGCTCATAACGTTTGCCGGCCTGTTGGCCTTGGCCTTCGCCAACACACCAGCGCCCACCGGCAAAGTCGTCTGCTACTACGACAGCAAGAGCTATGTCAGAGAATGTAAGTGGATTTTCATTTTGCTGAGCGATTTACTAACCAATTGCGAAACTAATTTCGTAATTTATATTTTCGTATTGCGATATTAAAATATTGGATATTGTTCGCTCCGGTTGCTTCATGTGGGTAGACATAAATACTTTTATATGACCAAAGTTAGGAGAAAAAGGTTTATTCTCATTTTAGTCACGATTACGAATATTATTTTTAGTCAATTTGTGAACTAAATTTTATTTTCTGTATTTCAAGTACCATCAGTCGTTTGTCTTGCTTATGAATTATTTTACTTAATTAATCATCGAAATAAAAGTATTAATTCAAAAATATTAATGTATTAAAGCTAGTATTAAGAAACCAAAAGAGGCTATAATAAGCTAGTTTGCGATATGAAGTCATAAGTTATCGAAGTTGTACGAGGGTCAAACTGAAAGTTCTTAGAACTGGCCACTTATAAACAATATAATAAAAAAATAATTCTAAAATTTGAAAATATAACTCTTTGCCAATATTACTGAGTATATATTTCATTCATTTGTCATTTGTTTTACGATTTGGCGGCAAATTGAAAATTGTCTGTGTCACGTCATCATGAATTTAACACGAGAAAATTTTCGTGCAATGATTTTTTATGACTTTCGATGTCATTTAAGTCAACAAGAAAGTTATGATAGACTACGATTGGCCTTTCACGATGAAGCCCCATCTCGTGCGACTGTTTACAACTGGTTTAATGAGTTTAAACGTGGTCGCACTAATCTCACTGATGATTTACGTGAGGGACGGCCTTCTACGGCGACGACTGAAGATAACATCTGTGTTGTGCGGCGTATGATAGAGACTGACAAAAGAGTGACCTATCAACAGATTCGGACAAGCTTAGGCATCGGTATGAGTCAAGTGCACAAAATCCTCCACGAACATTTAGCGGTCAGGAAGCTTTGCGCCCGGTGGATACCTCATAATTTGACTGAGGCTCAAAAACTCCATCGTGTGGATTGGTGTCGTAAAATGATTGAAAGATTTAACGGAGGTGACTCAAATGCTGTGTTCGACATACTAACAGGTGACGAAAGCTGGATTTACTGTTATGATCCTAAAACCAAAAGACAATCTGCTCAGTGGGTGTTTCCTTTCGAGGAGTTGCCAACTAAAGTGAAGAGAGATCGAAGTGCGGGAAAAAAAATGGTGGCCTCGTTCTTTGGAAGGATAGGTCATTTTGCAACAATTGTGTTAGAGGATCAAAAAACAGTTTCTGCAGAATGGTACACTACCAATTGTTTGCCACTTGTCTTGGAAAAAGTTCGAGAGAAACGACCTCGCAGTAGGATCCTCCTTCACCACGACAACGCCTCGTCGCACACCGCCAAGCGAACGATCGACTATTTGGCGACATCAAACGTTGAATTACTGGGTCACCCGCCGTATAGCCCCGACCTCGCGCCTTGTGATTTTTATTTATTTCCAAAAATTAAAGAAAAACTTAAAGGAAAGCGGTTTATGAATGCTGAAGAAGCGGTGGCTGCGTATCGCGATGCCATTGAAGAGACCCCTAAGGACGAGTGGGCAAAGTGCTTTTCCCAGTGGTTCCATCGCATGCAGCGGTGTATTGACGTGAATGGACAATATTTTGAAAAGATATAATAAAACTAATAACTGGCTAATGTAATCAGTTTTTGATTTTCTAAGAACTTTCAGTTTGACCCTCGTACTCGTTTAAAGTTTCATAACAGTTAATCGTGAAATTATATAACAATCGAGTGTTTATAAAGCAACATTAAGAATTAAATTCTCATTGGTTTACTTGTTAACGAATGGAAAGTTATTTTTTTTTGTAAATGTCGGTACATTTAAATCTATTTCTTAGGTACATAAATTTGATTAACATTTGCGTATTTTTTCTGTAAATTTATATTTCGTCCTAATTAAATTGCTATATCGACTTTAATTTAAATATTGGAACATTTTTCTTTGAATCACTTAATATTATTTTTTTTAGTTAAGTGTAGAATTCACGCTTAATACCCTGTGGCGGAATGGATAGTGGATTGTCTTAATAAATATCAATAGGTTTTAGGCCACTGCCTAATGCCTATTTGGTAAATATTTTACCTCAAGCCATTTGAAATGGCCACGAGGTTCTAACGCGACCTTGACTCGAGCTTTAACCTTGTCTTGTTACTCAAAAGAATTGTTTGAGCGTCTAATTTTAAATAATTACACTCGATTTTAAGGACGATGCGTTGTTTTGATAGTTTAATTTTTATTATTTATATAACTCTAGATTAATTTTCATTTTTGTTTGCAAAACTTTATTTTGATAATGTATATGGCAATGTGTACATTGAAGATAATTGAGAAGATAATAATTTAGTAAAGCCTACAATAGTTTTATTGATTAGCGATACGAAATTGATGACGTATTTATATGAAAAAAGATTTATAAATAATTAAATTACAGTTAATGTGACGAAAATGTTATTAAAAATTTAGCGTTGGTATTTATTTTTTATCTTTCCTTATTACTATTTTTGTAACATATATTATTTTATGGAATTTGTTTATTTTATTTATCAGTAATTTATTTGTCAAAATTAAAGAAATATCTTGTCAAAACTAAACTAAATCCGTGGTAGAGTGTAGTTGACTACGCTAGGTGCCTAAAAAAACCTTCCGCTTTCATGTTTTCCTGTGAAAATGTAATTTATTCTTTTGTGATGTAAAATAAAGTTTGTTTCACGTTGGCAGAATTTCGGTGCAAATTGAAAATGCCATTAAAAAAAGGTCTCAAAAAAAAGTGGGTAGTGGAAGATTATTAAACTAGGTTTGTTGCATGAGTTATGTTGATGGACTTAAAATCTATTTGGTAAAATCTAAATTGTAAGTACCCGAATATATTACAATTAGTAAGAATTAACACCCATTTTGACAGGATTTACATTAAATTCGGTATAGTTTATGCCAATAGTAGAATATTAGATAAAATCACTAAATTTATTGAATGATGCAATTTTATTGCGCAGGCTAGTTTTCATTTTAATCTAATCATGTCAAACTACGTTTTCAAAGACAGAAGTTAACGTACTATTCATATTGTATAGAGTATAATTACAAACAAACACAAATAAAAATAATACTTAAAAAATAATATTCGGAAAATTCTGTTGTAACCTAACTAGGTTACAACAGAATTTCGGTGCAAATTGAAAATGCCATTAAAAAAAGGTCTCAGAAAAAGTGGGTAGTGGAAGATTATTAAACTAGGTTTGTTGAATGAGTGATGTTGATGGACTTAAAATCTATTTGGTAACATCTAAATTGTAAGCCCACCCAAATATATTACAATTAGTTAGAATTAACACCCGTTTTGACAGGATTTACATTAAATTTAGTATAGTTTATGCCAACAGTAGAATATTAGACAAAATCACTTAATTTATTGAATGATGCAATTTTATTGCACAAGCAAGTCTTAATTTTTATCTAAGCATGTCAAACTACGTTTTCAAAGACAGAAGTTAACGTACTATTCATATTGTATAGAGAATAATTACAAACAAACACAAATAAAAATAATACTTAAAAAATAATATTCGGAAAATTGTCCGAATTGCCGGGTGTCATTAGGGTGTCATTATACCCGTACCTTATAGATCACTTGGATGAATCGTTCTATGACATTTCATAGAACGATTCATCTCACTCACATTAATTGTTGTGAAAAATAGGAAACCCTTTCCCTCCTTTTTCCTGAATAAATTGAGAAAAGGGAATATGTAACCTATAATGGAACGATGACTAATTTGTTTAAACTAGGCAGTTTGTTATATTTATTATTATGATACTTCCAGACCATTCCAGACCCAAAGAGTGATAGTGATAAGAGTTAATTATTACAATAATTCAAAACTAAAATGTTCTGATCCCCGACCTTATACTTTGATGTCAACAGTATGATAATGACAAGAACAAATAATATTAATGTGTCACTTCTGAGAAATGATTGGGAAAAATATAAATCTGTTTAGATATTACAGTAGGCCGACACAAGTGACATCACGGAATAATTTTAAGTCACAGCTTATGCTATTTTGATCTGTATCGCTTTTTAATAAAATCCTTATTACTTGAGACAATTTTAAGACAGTTTATTTGTATGCATGAGATTGCTTGGCTATAATAATATCTTTTTTAAATGACTTTTTCCTATTACAATAGGTACTAAATGGTTATTCGATAATACCTTTTTTAAAATACTTTGTAGTCTTTTTGAAATTTCGGCAGTTGTATGTGTAATTAAGTGATATAGACAAATAAAGAGATACAAATGAAAACTTATTTACCCGTTTTTCTTATAAGAGTTTTTTAAATAACTTGTTCGCTAAAAATATATATTTGGAGGTCAGTCATTATAATTCTTTGCCGAAACGATACTTTTTAAGAGGAACTTTACTGCTTTTAATTTTGAATTAAATTAAGTAGTAGAGTAGAGTCAATTGTAGTAAAGTCAATCATTAAGACAAGAAAAATAACTCCTCGCGGAACATAAGGAAATAAGTGACATGAAGTTACCTACATTAAATTTAATAAATCTATCTCACTCGTACAAAAACTACGTTTGTTCTTTATGTTCTGAGAATATATTTCAAAACATAACTTCTGAATCTAAAGTTAAAATGATTCAGATCTTTGTTCACCTACATTTTCAAACATGATTCATGTAACTTGTTTTCTTATTACCTACTACATACATGTTCCGTGCGGTTAATGCAACGAAAACAATGGCATGAGTACATACATTATTTGTACTACATTTAAGGATAGTGATGTGTTGTTAATATTAATGCCTTCGTGGTAGGAAACTTGATGATAGATTTTCTGTTAAAATAAATTTAGAATCGTAACTAGTTAGGTTATAGGAAATACTTCGAATGAAAATGAAATTTATATCGCACAATAAACGTAGATTTTTGATACAGTTACGTCTATTTGGAATCGGAATTTTCGTGCTAAGACGACAATTACCGCGGTAGAAAAATAGTGACTTTAATTAACTTATTGTATGATAACCACAATGTTATTCCGGCATTTATAAATGCTTTGCTTGTCATCATATAGGTACAACATTTTTTTTCATGAAATATCATTTAATTTTTTTAGAAAACACAATTGAATGTAATTTAAAAATCAAAAAGTTTATTGATGTCTTCCTCTTTGAATGCGTTTGTTTATAATATATTAACATAAAATTATTTTGGTGTAATTTTTTTTCGAAATATTTTCATATTTCGAAAAAAAATTTTTTACTTTATCATAGTATTATTTTATCACTGTTTGAATTACATGGACGATATGGTAACTGATTTTTAATCATGGTTACCAATTCGATAGGATACCATATTGTTTTGCAAAAGTTTAATCGATAAGTGCGATACAATATTTTTTTTGCATTTTATAAACAACTTGTTGTTTCCTCGTAGCTTCTCCCGTGTAAATTATAGCCTATGTCACCCGCATGAATGATGAATTTTTCAAATAGATTCAGTAGATTAAAGACTATTCACTGAAAACAAGCAAGCAAACAGTAAAATGAGTCCTCTTTGTAATAATAGCGTCTCTAGATTAAGACTAAGATAACCTAACCGTTAAAATGTTGCGTCGCGAAGACTTGTTTACCAATTTCCCACTAAATTAAAGATCTAATATCCTAATTCCTTGTTGTTTATTGTGATCTATAAGGTACACGGTCCAACGAATACTTACCCACAATTGGATAAGTGATGCTTACTCCGACGAATGACATCATAGTACCTACCTATGTAGCAATGAATAGCAAGATTACAACGGTTCGAATTTAATTTACACTACAATGAGTAACGTTTGACTCATTTCTCGATTAGAAAGCATTCGTGATTTTAAACGAGATTATATTATCAATTGTTAGAGAAGTCACATTAGTAAAGTATTTGAAACCTGCTTTATTATTTTTGTAATCACAATGAATGAAGAACCATTATTAATTTAATTCTTAAGCATGTGTGGAAGGTGTCCATATTACAATGTTGCTCACAGCACCACGCTAAGGGAGGAATAAAACGGGTGTTACTGCTAATACTACAATTCACTGAATAAAATATGAATCGGAGTATCTTTCGATAGTTCCAATATTTCATTAATAATTTCCAAGAGTAGTATATGAATAGCTGTTGTAGTAGTTGATCGACTATGTAATTTAGTTGAGGGATGCATTTATCCAGCTCAAGCTCGTATGCTGCCTTTGGACTTGGATCCTGCGTTGTCATTCTGCACACACTTGGTTTACGGATATGCCGGAATCCAACCTGACACCTACAAGATGATACCCCTCAATGAGAACTTGGACGTAGATCGCTCGCACGCTAATTATCGTGCGATAACCAACTTTAAGACCAAGTATCCAGCTCTTAAAGTCCTCCTATCTGTAGGAGGAGACGCCGACACGGAAGATCAACAGAAATACAATCTTTTGGTAAGTGTAAATGGCTTGATAATATTTTATATATTTGAACAACTTCAAATTCTTACTCTGGACCAACACAAATATTATGAAACTCTCAATAACGTAGCATGATAGACGTAGATACTATAGAAAAAATCATATTCGTCATGGTAATCGTGAGATTATTATATGATTTAAATTATACCTATTAACATCTGCAGATGTAGTTGGGACCAAATTTTTACTTGTCTTGGCTATTTTTGGTCACCATCTACATAATAAGATGCCTTTACGAAACCTTAACCTTTGCGATCACAGCATTTAGCTTTGATTCTAAGTTGTATGATAGGAAATCAAACTCTGGAACTGAGTGAAGATCCAAGCAGGCATAATCTCTAAAAACGCTACTTACTTACAGCTCGAATCGCCGCAAGCTCGTACTGCCTTCGTAAACTCTGGTGTCCTGCTCGCGGATCAACATGGTTTCGATGGCATTGACTTGGCATGGCAATTCCCTAGAGTTAAACCAAAGAAGATTCGTTCCACTTGGGGTATGTATTCAGTTATGTACAAAATAGTTTACGAAATGTATTCAAATATATATACAATGCAATAAAGGTATTTTCTAAATACTTCTTTAAAATGAAAAATTTCTATTTTTTGGGGAATTCAATTTTCTTCCTTTTGCAAATGGAAAAAGAAGTCTTTCAAATAAAATATGTAAGGCATATTTCGAAATGGTATTTTAGTATAAAATAGGTGTTTTGCTTTTGGAACTATTTGCATTTTAAATATAAGTATTTCTAATAAGTCGCATTATTTTATACTCGAAATGAGGCATTTAAATTAGAAAAATCATTGATCACATATACTCTATATACTCTTCAAGCAGTCGTCATTCTCAGAAACAATAAGGTTTTCCTATCTTATGTACATGGTAGTATCCAAATGAAGGATCACCCGATTGAATTGGATGCAAGCGAAAGTTTAATACAACCTTATATAAACAAAATCAATTTTTCTTAGGGTCTATCTGGCATGGTATCAAGAAGACTTTCGGCACCACACCAGTTGATGAAAAAGAAGCAGAACATAGAGAGGGATTCACTGCTTTAGTTCGTGAGATGAAACAGGCCCTTAACGTCAAGCCTAATAGGCAACTGTCTATTACGGTCCTGCCTAACGTTAATTCTTCTGGTAAGAAAACCACAATAGAAATATATGATTTTTCTTCAAAGAAATTGGTGACTTGGAAAGAGAAACGTTACCAATATAATAAGAAGAATTGTTAATTTATTTTAGGTCAGACAAAATAAATTACCTTTTTCAAAATTTTCTTATATTCTGGAATTATATATATATAGCGTTCCTAAAGGAAATAATACTAGATATTGCATTATTTCTATTCAAATTTAATTCACTTAGGTAAGATACAATTATATTGTTGATCAAAATATACTTTTATTATAATTAAAGATGTGCCCGAATATTCAGTTCGTTGTATGTTTCTATCTGTGAACATATTAATTGCTGAAATAGATCCATCAGAAGCTTAACCGATGTATCTTCTTTATGAGTATCTACTGTAGCTTTTGCTTCCTCTATTAACTATAGATTGATTACCCATTTACCTATATTTAATAATGATCTTGAATTGAATAACTACCTTTTTTAGGCACATGTTTCATGATTTTGATACTTACGACCTGACTATTATAAAAATAGATTATCATTAAAGTCAAAAGATCGCTTGTGCAACTGGGTATTAATGTTTTAAATATAGATAACGTTTTTAGTTCTTAATTTAAAATTCAAAAAGGTTTTTTGCACCGCCTGTGAGAACGCAACAAAGATCATATAGCAAAAAAAATCTCCGCTCGTTTTTCTGTCGTCGAAATAAAATGCATATTTTAATTAACTATCCGATAAAAGGATTAATTTATATCGATCATAAAAAATTGATTACATAAGGGATGAAAAATATGACCGCTCCTCGCTCAGACTTCAAAGCTCAGAGTTACGTGTTTATTTTTGAAATTTTTCTATAAATTTTACTATTGACATTATCTTCAAACATAAACAGGAAAAGATAATTCTCTTTTAAAAAGAAAAACCGTTGAGGTTACAGCCGTTTAATAAAAAAAATTTCGTCTCCAATTACAGTTTACTTCGACGTGCCATCCATCATCAATTTGGTAGACTTCGTGAACATTGACGCGTACGACTACTTCACCCCCGAGCGTAACCCTAAAGAGGCTGACTACACTAGTCCATTGTATACGCCGCAGAACCGTAATCCTCTGCAAAATGCTGACGCAGAAGTTAGCTATTGGTGAGTGTGAGCTGACTACTATATAATATGTAACTGTTACATTTCTTTTTTTCTGTTATTCTATCAAATTAAATTTTATGATAGGTATACCATTACGCATCTATAGATGCGTTTTCTAGAATATTATATTTTAGTGTAATAATATAGCTGTAGTATATTGAAAGAGTATGGAACAATGAAAATATTTACCTATATATTCTGTAGTAAGTATAACACCATAAGGGAAAAATGGTGACCATTTATGTAAACACAACAATAAATATGAGTTTTTTTACGTGCTCCTTAGTTTTTAATAATTTGACAAACAATGTACTTAACTTGATTATACCTTTTTAATTTATACCAATATTTAGCAAGCAATGTGCTTATTAATTCTTATTGAAACGCTATATTATTTTTTTTTAACATAAATGATTTACTAATAATTGACTGACCCAAAAGAGATGATTATGTCGTTATATAGGTATAAGTACTTATATGCCATAAAAATAAAAAAAAATAATTATCCTCATCGGTGCAGACTTTCCCAAGTTTCAAACAAATCAAACGGACTTTCTAATAAATTCTCTTTATTATATTTTAGGAAACAACACGGAGCACCCACGACTAAACTAGTGTTGGGCATCGCGACATTTGCACGCACCTGGAAGCTGGACTCGGACAGCGAAATCTCGGGAGTCCCTCCAATCCACACCGACGGACCAGGAGAAGCAGGTTTGGCTGAACTTTCCAATTGATATCTCACTCTTTTCTGAGATCAGTTTTTAGTTACTAGGATAACGTGTAAAATTAAATTATAAGTTGTTTTGTATTCTTTTGTAATCTGCTTTGTATAAGGAATTGAAATAAATTATTATTATTTAAAAAAAAACTGCCTCGCTTGAGTTTCTTGCCAGTTCTTCTTAGCACTATGTCTTCTACCGTAGGTTTATGAACAAGTATTTATTAAATTCGAATATTTTAAAATTTTATAGATTATTGCTATATTACTTGTACTTAAACTCTATACATGGGATTATTAGATTTGGTCACTTACTTTCAACAACTACTAAATTTATCGATTATTTATTTATATTAATTTATTAATTTATTAATCCAAAAGTCTAATCTAAAAAGTTCTAATGGAAACTAGCCATTAGTTAGAAAGCAAATAGCATGTGTGCGTTCCTAAAAGGTAAATATATATCGTTAGCAAATAAAGATAAAAAAATTGAGAATATCAGCAATAGTTTATGCTAATTCTTAATATTGAAATTATTTGTTTTCATTAGGTCCATACACTAAGACCGAAGGTCTACTCAGTTATCCAGAAGTATGCGCTAAGCTCATCAACCCCAATCATCAAAAGGGCATGCGCCCACACCTGAGAAAGGTTACTGATCCCAGCAAACGTTTTGGTACGTACTAACTTTTATTAATACATGCAGAAAACTCTCTTATTAACAGTTAAACAGATATCAAATTATTAAATAGAATCTTGGGTTAATTATAAATCAATAAAAATGATTTTTCGTCTCGTTTTGAATGCTGTCATATATACGCCATTTTGTGGTGGCGGCCATCTTGTGAAGGCTCAAAATTAAAGATCAATTATCAACTAAAAGAGTGAATAACATTTCAAACACTAGGTTCAAACATCGTTTTCCGACTGACTGATCGACGAATCTTTAAAAACTTTATCCAAAGAATTAAAGAAGGCTTATGGTCAGTTGTACGAACATCCATTAAGTTTTAGTAAGGCCTTTTAGCTCTTGTGAATTTAAAATTTGTATCGTATTGTGGCTTTAAACTTAGGTTACTTTTAATGGACGTTAATGCTGGCTAAAACTGGCTGTTACTGTCAAGAGCTGTTTAAAGAAATCTCAGTTAAAGTAAAAATAAATGTTTAATTACTAAATTAGTGCATAATTAAAACTTGCAGTCAATGTTTTGATTGAATACTTGCTTTTATTGATGGTTCATTGGTATATGCTTTGAAATTAGCGGCTTCATTTAACTTTTCAGAAGTGAGCTTAACCAAGGAGAGTGACATATCTAATACATTTGGTTGGTACTTATTTTTAGTAGGCTTGGCTTGTTGTCCGTTTTCATTAACATATTAACAATACAATGAATATAAATAGACGAATCATCATTAATACAAATTTTGAGTTGTTAGGAATAGTTAAAACTGTTTACTTATTTCTAGATTGTTAAATTGATTTTCGTTTTGCTGTAGGAAAAGTGTTTGTACTTCACTGGCGTGTTAGAAAGAATCATATCCACTTTCCATACATTGATTGTGTTTTTTAAGGCCGCATCTACACACCATTAGTGATCACTTAAATTAGTTTTTGCTTAAAATATAATAATATCTTAGTATCTTTTCATATGGACGCCAGGGAGATTTGTAATTTGGGGCCGTCCATTAATCACCTGATGTTTTTTTTGGCATATTTTAACCTCCCCTCCCCCATAGTGATACATGGTGAGGTTTAAGACTACCCCCCCCCCCCCTCCCCATATATCACGTGTATTTTTAGTACTTACAATGAATCTTAATTTTCTAATTGTATTATAGACAATTAAAGAGTACAATAATGTCTAGAGGTAGACAGAAAGATTACAGGACTTGCAGGTTGTTTTTGATTGACAAAAATAATGAAAGGAATGCGAAAAACTTTATGAATATTATTATTTAATGAACGTTTGACGAAAAAATAATTTTATTACACTTATTTACGCCGCTTTTCAGTTGAGTATCGCGCGTTTGTCGAAAAAATAAATACACGTGATATGTTACTTCACCCCCCCTCCCCCCTTATGATATTTCGTGACTTTTTTATGGACCCCTCCCCCCCCTTTCGAGCCTCACGTGATTAATGGACAGCCCCTTTGTAAATGATGTTTTGAGGTTATAACAGCTGTCAAGTATGATGAGTAATTATTATTAGTTTGCCCATCATGTATGTAGATTGTTGGAAAATATTGAACAATTATTATTTCATATTTTTGCGTTATCAACAGATTACGGCGACAAAGATATATGAATAAAGTTTCATTCAAAACCAATGATACAAAACCGTTTGATTGCTGTTACATATACTTTTATTTAATATTCTATTAAGTTTAAATGGTGTCGGTGACCCAAGACTTCTTAGACAAACTGTGCGGCTCTGAAAAACTGCTAACTAATCTATTCGAAATTTGCAATACGTATCTTCAATTAAATAAAACGTTTATTTAATTTCATTGAATATTTAGGACGTGACATCAATGCGTTCAATTTCGAAGTTGGTTTTATAACAAACAGAATATTACTATAGAATTTTTGTCATTCGCTCAACATGAGATAAACGTATTAAGTATATATAGCTAACTGCGGACGAGCTCTCACGCTATGCCGCAATTTTAATTCAATTAATGTTTATGGTTCTGAACAGTTTGTCTAAAGTGTATCTTAGATATTAGGTTTTATTAAAATCTAAGGAAGAGACCTATGATATGAATATTAGCGTTAAATTTACAAAACAGAGATTTTTTACGCCTAAAATGGAACTTACGACTAATAGTCAAGTTTTTAAATTCGGTACTTAATTATTAAGAAGTTTATATTTTTAATTAAAAATGAATCATATGATTGTTTCAGTGTTCCTTTTTAGATATATCTAAATTTACCTGTAAGATCTTATAGCAGCTTCTGCACATTAGTTTAAGATTTCATTTAAAAGAAAATCAAATGTTTTTAAGACTTAAATGCTAGGATTTATGTTATACGGTTCTCTTTTTATAAAGAGGGAATGGCGTGATGGTAACAATGCACAAATTAAATAATTACCTTAGATTTAATCGCCAATAACATATATCGCTATCGACAATAACATTTATAACGTAATAATAGCATACGCTAAAAAACTTAATACTTTAATAAAAAGGAAATACCTAAAATAATGTTGACTGTTTTATAGGAACATACGCATTCCGTCTTCCGGATGATAATGGAGAGGCGGGTACCTGGGTTAGCTATGAAGATCCTGACACTGCTGCTATGAAGGCTCAATTCGTGAAGTAAGTGGAAAAATATTAGAAATTTGATTGCTAGCGTCATCACCATCGCTAATGATGAACTTATTACTAATACGATGGGCTAGATGTCGTGTCAGTAACTATTTACAGTGAGACTGATTTAAATAACGAGAACCCGCCAGATGATACAGATTAGAAGCTTTTAACGACAGCCAACGATGTAGCCGAGACCAATTGTTTAACGTGACTTCTGTTCATTCAGCTTTACGCCCCATCTCATACCATCTAAAGAGAATTAATGTATGATTCTAATCTAATGATGAGACAAACCTTGAATTTACTTGTTATTCTGACATTTAAAAGTCAGAATCTAAAGCTCTAAATTAAAATCTAAATTCAAAAGTAATTTTTGTAATTTGTTGGTATGAAAGTAATAATAAAGTAAGCTTGCAATGGCGCTGGACTAGTGTTTTGACTTCACTAGCGTGACATCTCCATACAATCCTTTTTTTTCTGATTGCTATGTTCTTTTGAATCGGCATTCCATTTTTTAATGATTATTGTTCTGTCCTGTCTAATTATATTAACTTTATTGTAAAGGAATAAGCAATAAGAATTTACATTGTATATACAAATTTGTGTAGTTTTTTATTCTTTGAACCAGTAGTTTCGGCTTTAATTGATAGTCAACTTTAAGTTTTATCAGATTTTAAAATCTAAAACGAGGAATTGCTATGATCGACGAGTATGTATTTGTATGCATGTTTATTATAGATATTATCTTTACTCAAATATTTTACTTTATACATTGCAATCGTCTGTTACAGATCAAAGGGTCTTGGTGGAATATCACTTGTCGATTTGTCAATGGATGACTTCCGTGGTCTATGTACCGGCGATAAGTATCCTATCTTGCGTGCTGCTAAATACCACCTGTAGATTTATGAGTGACTACTACAACAATTATTCACTTTATTTTGATTTATTCAAAGCTCATTAAAATCGTAGTCATATTTAAAAAGTATAACAAAATAATACGTCACGCTAATTCGTCATGAACTTTTGTGATTTTGAAATATCAAGACGTGAGTCATCATCCCACTGGATGGGTAACAGTTTTATATTTGTTAACCGTTTTAGACTTAATTTTCAATGGTAAGTTTTTGAATGGCTTTGATATAATTTTGTTTGGTTTTTATAGATTTTGCTATTTGTCATATATAGGTCGTTTAGTTTTGTACCCTACCACGGGCTCTAAACTGACGATTAATTAGCGTTTTGTCATTATAATAACCTTCATGTTTTACGTTTTGACAATGTAATAATCTTCAAGTTTTACGCTTTGACAATGTAATAATTTTCAAGTTTTATGTTTTGACAATGTAACGCTCAAGTTTTATGTTTTGACAATGTAATGTTCAAGTTTTATGTTTTGACAATGTAATAGACCTAAGGGTAGGTGCATATCTGACGAAAGATGCATCTCATATCGTTGGTCGGGGAACGTCAGTGAACGTGATTTGACATTAATCTTGAACACTCGACGGGAGTTCTCTACTGTACTAGCTCATACTTCCGTGAGACGCTTGTCGGATTTACCGTTAGATCTGCATCGACGCTATGGTTTTACAATATAATAATTTTAAGGCTTAACTAATTAAACTAATAAGCAATATATAAGCGCAACGCCAGTTCAGTGAAAATAGCATTCTGAATACAAAATTGTTCAAATATAATATAACTAAACAATTTTATATCAAATGAAGAGACTTAATTGATACGGTCGATAGGATATTTTTTTTTTCTGAATATAATATTATGTAATAAAGCATGCCCTATAAAGATTGGTTTCATTTATTTATTTTCTTAGAATGTATACTTATAATCAGTAGATTTTTTCGAAGTTATTTTATCGATTTTTCGATATCCCTGGCCGTTTGTAAGTGTCGCCATCTCTGACGGTCCGGTTACAATGTCATAGTTCTGGGAGTTATACTACTATACTTGTCTGAAATACTTAATAATTTCACAACTATACCCACTTAGTATCTGGGAATCGGAGTAATAGGAGTATGTGATCTTGTCTAATATTTATTTATTTACTTGATTATTACATAGACTTATTTCTCTTAGGAGGATTTGCTAGGACTTAGTAGTTTTATCTTGATACTTGGATACGATCAAGACGTTTTACCAAGCGTTTAACCTTCGTTTAACATAGTCCAAAGAGTAAAGTATAAGTCACATAATAATTTAAACCAAATATACTCTATGATTTAAACTTTACTCTTTGGCTTTCTTGGTCCATATCATATAACAGTAAAAAACTTTCGTGAAAAATTATTCTTACGTTTGTAGAAACTTAATAGTATATGTATTTGAAATACTTTATTGCAATTTACCAATATAGTTATCACGTAGTGGTATACATCACCGAAATTATGTTGTCGTCACGCGTTTGGATATCACAGTCACGTCTTGGGTTCTTTTTGCCTCAAGCTGTTTTCGCTACGCATACGACGACTTGTCCATCTAAAAAAGAAACTGCTCCCAAAAGATGTCCCTCATCTGGAGGTAGTGGCTCAAAGGGACAAGGTCTTACTAGAGCTATTCAATCTGGTAAAGTAAGATTAGCTTTCATTCCAGAAGAGTGGTTTCAGTTTTTCCATTCGAAAACTGGTGTCACTGGGCCATATATATTTGGAATAGTTATGGCTAATTATTTATTAAGTAAAGAAATTTACATTATGGAACATGAATACTATCTCGGTTTATCAATTTTCGTCGTTCTTACTTGCGCTGTTAAGTTTTTGGGACCGGCTATGGCAGCTGATCTGGATAAAGAAGTCGATGCCGTTCAAGCGGAATTCGATAAAACTAGAAAAGATGAAACTGATCTTTATGAGAATACAATAAAATCTGCTAAAGATGCTCAGTGGAGAGCTGAAGGTCAAAAGTTGTTGATGGACGCTAAGAAAGAAAACATTGCTATGCAACTAGAAGCTATTTACAGAGAGAGATCAATGCTTGTATATAAAACTGTCAAAGGACGTATGGATTATCACGTCAAAAGATATCGGGCAGAAGCTCGTATACATCAAAAGTGGATGATAGACTGGATTTTGGGAAACGTAAGAAAATCTATTACTCCCGAATTTGAAAAGCAGGCACTGAATGCCGCTATTCAAGAATTAGCCACTGTTGCTAATCGTACGAATTAAGTACTGAAACTTCAGTTTATATTTTTAGTTATACTGAAAGGTAAATTTTTATTTCGAATTGCACTATGTGTTATCGTTTTTATTGATACTATAACGTTGTAATAAAAGTTTTCATTACTATCAAAGCAGTCATATATTGGGCGCAACTAGTTACGTTTGAATCGTTGTAGTTTGTAACCAAAAAAAGTTTAGCATAAAAATGCATACATTGAAAATTGAATTTTTGTTTTTCTATATTATTTTGGATGTAGCTCAATGTAGAAAAACTACCCATACCACAACTGTGGCATCCCTTAAAGGTAAAGACAATTTTGTCCAACTTATACTCGTATGTTGCATAAATTGATGGATGAAAAATTCCTTATTTAGATAAATATGTATAGCAGCTATGAAGCAAACCATTTAATATTCTAATCCAAGAGCTCTAGCAGGTTAAAGACTTTTTAATCGACTGATAATTTAGTTTTGTTGAAAAGGTCGTATTAAAAATATTTTCATAGATTTTAATAAATATTAAAAGACTAAAAATAGTACCGAAAGTTTGACGATTTGTTATAATTTACCTTGTACCATAAAATTCGAAAATTTCAATTATTTGTTGAAGATCGAAATCTATATATTTTAACTTATTTTAAAGTACTTTTGAAAAATGTGTATACATCTGATTTTTTCCTCTTTTATGTTAGGTAGGTATGTTTATCTATACTTACTATAAAACAAAGTCATTTCCTGCTGTCTGTACGCTGGGATTTTTAAAACTACACTTTAATGAGATTCATCAATATACAGAGAGATTCAATAGGAAGTTTATTAATAATACAGGACCACGTGGGCGAAGCCGCTAGCGGAAAATTAGTCGATAATAATATGTAGGACATCAATAATATTTTTATTAGAGTAGTTGTTTAAAACATATATTATCTTTATTTGTATATAAAATGAATCCTATTACTCAAATAACATTATTTATAACATCTTTTGAAGTTAAGGACCCAAGTGATTATGCCGTGTTTTGCAAATTTCAACCGAATACTTACGACTGCGAAAGAAAAGGCCGTAGCCCCGTACATGGGTAAATATGTATTATTTTCTTTCTTATGTTTTATGAAAATCATTGTTAATAACTGCAATGTTGCAAGAATATAGTTTTTCAAAGACCGGTACTGTTATAGACACACTCCGTAGCATAGTGGCTCTCACAGTGGTTTCAAGGTTTCGCGTCATTAGATTCCCAGTCGGGTCAACGTGGAAAATTTACTATTCTATTTTGCCTCGGGTCTATCTGCTTTTATATTTTAGAATTTTCATAACACGCAGACTTTAGCTACTTATCTTGGTATTGATGTCCTCAAATATTCCAAAAGAGAAACAGATTGACATAGCATCAGCTTATTAATATCCTGACCGTTTGGTCACGGCCTTCCCTAAGTTTCTTTTGATGGAAAACCGTAGGACTACAGTTGAATGGCGTTTTGGATGTCAACCTTGACGCCAGATAGCGAGCGATACATCTGTATTCCTGCCATCAAATTAACGCTGCTGATGTCACGCTCTCAAACTGCCACACTTCTAAAGTGTGCCCTCAGCATGTCTACACTGCAGACGTGCCAGGGTCTTTCTTTCATCCGTATCCAGTGCAAATATTTACTGAAACATCCGTTGACAGTTAATATCTGTACCTGACGAAAAGTGAAGATTTCGAACGGCCTTTTCCCTTCAGGTTCTAAGAACCGGGATTGCTTCCGTCATACGTGCTCCAACTATGGGGGGAGCCTACACTCCCACTATCATTATTTGGTGTATATAGCAACCCTTAAATTATATCACGCGTATTTCGTCTAAGACTCTACGTCATCATGTCAAACTCGACTCTGTATTAATGAGTAAATTAACTAAAACCTGATTTAAATCACTAGATCTAAATAATATACATTATTTTTAATATAACTAATATGTCGAATTTTCAGGTTTTACTACGATATCAAAATGGAAGACTGTAAATCGACGACGTATGGGACTTGTCCACATAATGTTAATCAATTTTCTAGCGTAACTCAGTGCCATGATCATTGTCGTGGTGAGTTTTTAAAAGTTTCTTATATCAGCTGATATATTGTAGATCATGATTATAGGTATAATCATAACTGACTCAACTCTAATTGTACCTGTAAAAATGTTAGAGATCGTAAATCATCCCAGATTTCAAATAGAGTTTGTGCTATTTACAATTAGTCAAATCAGTCAGTCAGAATAAATAAATCTTAAAGTCCCGTGTCAGACATGTTCATAAACCAGGAAAATACCTAATAAAGGAATTATAGTATGGGCATTTGCGAATTTGTCTAAAGTTTGATTATACATTTGTAGTTAGCCACATAAGTCGGTTTTTGTGCGTACATAAAGTAAAACGAACTTCAAAGTTTGTGGGGCCGTGAGTAGTTGTGGAGTGTAGTAATGTTTCTGTTACTGAATTTCGCAAGAAAATGTAATATTGTCTGAAGAAGTTAAACAGACCAACAATATGGGAACCGAAAATCCTTGTAAACGACACATGGTTTGAAAAAAACAGTTTCTCCTTGCCTTTTCGTCGTCCGTTCTATCTTTGCAATCCTATGACCACCTTCCTTCATCATCATATCACCTTAATGGCACCATAATTACAAAATTACATAACAAAATTTCAAATATACCGGACATTCCGACTTTATTCCGAAAAATACCGACTTTAAATTTGAGTATTTGCGCACAAACATACTAACAAATCAAGTTAAATAAAAGCTTGTAACAAAATAAATATAAAAAATTAAAAACACGACTTTAATATTGAACTAAAAATTGACTATAGTAAGAAATCATCATCAATCTATAAATCTCTTAGGATGTAACGTCTCCATTTCCCAATGTATCAGCATCGCACACGTATTCAGAGCTTAAATAGCTATAAAAAAAAGAAAATTAAAGTTATAATATTGGCAACACTGCATCCACGACCAACAGCCCCATTTTTGGTTCGTATATAACTATTATGTAGTGCATAATAGTTATATATATAGTTATATATCTTTTCCTTTACACAGGAAAAGAATGTTTTTAGTACATTTTTTTCGAAACATATTTATTAAACTCCCAGACTTAAATTTATCAATTATAATAGTACCTATTCAATATGCAAAGTGCGTAGCTACGCTACGTATTCTGTAATAAAGAAAAAAATTATGTGTATAGTTGTTGTAGTTAGATAGTATCGGTTCTATTCGGGTTGAGTCGGGTTGGGGACATTAAAGCCTTGTCCTACCCCCGTGGAGTGGGGTAAATCATTAGAACATTGTAAACAACTAAACATATTTTGTATAATAAAGACACCATAAAAAAAAGGTTGGTTAAAGTGAGAGTAAACCAACTTTTCGTAGGTACATTGGTGGTTTGGTATATTTCTTTCCTTGCGGTTACCGACTGTTTTATTTCGAGAAATGTAATCTTTTATTCATTCATTTAAAATTAATGATAGGTTAAAATTCGAACGTTTAAGTAACGTATAAGTTTATTGGTACGCGTACTGAACAGTAATTTCTTCAGTCATCTTGACCTTCTCCTCAATATCTTCCCGTTCTTGTCGGATCGCTGCACTCTCAGAAGCTCTCTCTGAACAAAAGCTCTCAGTTACGGTCTGAGTTAGATTTTACAAGGTTTGTCTATCATGTAGTCGATCGGCGTATTGTACTCTTACTCTCAACATGAGTTCCTCAGGATAGATTTATTTGAACTGCAAGCAGTCAAGCGGAAGCGGGCTTTTGTTGATTTATTGAAATTGGTCGATAGTTTAATCAAAGAAAAAAGTGTTACAGAAATCTCCTGCGTTCCGCATCAGGATTAATGTAAATAATGTAAAGTTTATAAGGGTTTGTTCGATTATCTAATGAATGTATCGTAGGATATTAACTTTTTTGTTTTGTTTCGGGTCTGGTAACCTTCATTGTTTTCAAGCTCTTTTAGGACTTTAAAAATAAAATAATAAAATGTTATATTAATTGGTACATTATATATTCTTTTAGATGCAGGGATAAAACCTATTCTTAATCAAAATTTGACCGAAGTAATATTTTGTCGACTGCAACCTGATTTTGGATATTGCAATGATTATTATCCCATGTGAGTATTTCCTATATACTATACATACATACTAACACTGGGTCCAGGGGTGGGTTATGTTATGACTCATTGTTCTTGGTCTATTCCATGTTTAGAGATGGTTTGTGCCCTATCAGTGGAGACATGATGATGATGACCTATATCATCACCCTCATCAACCATCCAACCACCAACTCATGACTCTCCACGCTGGTCCGATGGGGATTGGAACTGTAAAAGCAGCCGGTACTTACGGTTTAACATGCCTTCCGTAGCACTGAATAACTCGAGATAATCATTTTTTGGTCACCCATCCCGTAACCGACCTTTGAGAAAGTTGGTTAACGACAACGACGCGGGCCACGGCACCGAGCTATTCACTAAGACCGAGCTACCATCACTCTATTAATGTTATTTCATTGTTGGGGCACAGATCTCATCTATGGACGGAATCAAATACGAGCAATAGACCCCAGTACAGATTGGTATTAACTACTGCAGAGTTAATACGGCTAGTGTTATTTAATAAACAAGGTTTAGCGTTGGAGTAAATTTACGCTGAGACTGCACTTAGTATTAGCAAAAATTCATATTATTAAACAGAGTTAATCTTGTTTGAGGTTTTACAGCAGTAATATTTAATTCTAAAAGTTAACTTTGGGGTGCGCAAAAGATTTTCTTTTAAAACTACTGTTTTAGAAAAAAAAAACACAAGATTTTATTGCTTTCTTTAATTAAAAAAGCTTACTATAAGGTATCCGATTATATAACAGATAAGAATGCTTGGACTTGAGATGATCCAGCAACTGGATAGGTGATTACTTCTTAACTCATTATATATCAAAAATTATCTTGCTTCCATTATTATTAAA